TATATATATATATATATATATATATATATATATATATATATATATATATATATGCATATGTATGTATGTATATTTATTTCATGAAACCTTTTTAATTTCATCCTCCCATAGGACTTCTAGAACTCCGTTCATCATTTTCATAAGAGCCCTTAGACGAAAATCATCAGCTAATTGAAGTAATCGGATTCTTTCTTCTTCTTCTGGCTGCTTTTTCATCTAAAGTAACTGCTCACTCGGTGATATATATCTGAATAAATAATAAGATTATTATAAAAGACTATAAAATAATATAAAATCAAAATTTCACCATTATATCGCCACTTTTGCAAAAGTGCTAAACTTCAGTTATTTCCAAATCCTTATTAGGATTTATTAGGAAAATTATTAGGATTCTTTTTAGTGCTTTAAGGAAAAACACTTATTTTAATATATATATGTTTATTTTTTTAATTATATTTAATGTTGATTAGTTGGTACATTTGCAATTTTGATGCATCTGCTGATTTGAAGAAGTTTTGAAGACCATTAACAAAGAAATTTTACTTCAATTTCTGCCAAAAATCATATATTCTACGAATATTGTATTTCTACGAAAAGGGATTTAAATTTGAAAACTTCATTATAGAAGCATTTTTATAAGATATGATTATTTGTACATATCAAAAAGTACATGCTACTTGCCTTAAGGTAAATAGCTGCTCAGTAAAATTACCTTTTAGCATCAACTTCATCATCAGCCACTGTTACAATAGTTTTCTGTTTTTTCTGCCGGAGACCATTCAGGATCCATCACGTCTACGGTAATCTAAAAATAATTATTTTTAAGTTAGATTTGTAATAAAACATTATTAAAAAATTCCGATAAGAATCCACAGAGAAACTCACGGGAATCTGATGAGATCTCTGAAGAAGGACCCAACAGTAGCTAAAAACAAATGGGAATCTAATAAGAATTTAGTTGGACTATACAAAGATTTTATCTAATAAAGGTCTCATAGGGTGTATGTAATAAAAATCCATTAATACTTGGGTAATCGATAATAATTAAGATTCCAAAGCGTCCAACTTCCTGGTGAAAATAGTAGGAATATTATAAGAACATTAATGTGGTAAGAATCTTATTGAATTATAAAAATGTTGTAAAGAATCTAACGGAAATATAATAAGACTTTAGTTAGAATCTATAAAGATTTTAATAATCTTATAAAAACCTAATAAGATTTTGGGGTAAAATTCTGATAAGTGTCCAATCGAATCAAAGCGGAATCTTATAAAAATCTTTGTGAGGATCTAGTGGAAATTTGCTAGCATTCTCATAATAATTCAGAAACATAGCTATGTTAATTAAGAGTATGCCCATAAGATAACCTGTAAATTTACTACTCGGTTACTATTCGGTATTCGGCACCTTTTTTGATATTCGGCCGAATACCGAATTGTAACTCACAATTCGGCCAAATACCGAATAGTTAAAATCAAAGGAGCCGCCGCCGCTCAGCGAAAATATTGTGTGTTTTATCTTTTTTTGCGATGGGCCTGTATATTTGAAGATCTGAAGATTTGAATTAAAAAATGTGAAATTGATTCACAATTGTTTTCTACTTACATAGTCCAAAGAGCAGTCCTTGAGCTCTGCCAAAATGTTCTGCTCATTGACAATATACCTCAATCGTTCGTTTTATCTGCAATAACTTTCATTTCTCTCTCCTTGAGTGCCATCATTTCTGCAAAGTGACGATTGAAATACTCCCTCAACAATGTAGCATCTCGCTGAGAAAACACTTCTTCTGTTTTCATCTGATCGATGGTGGCCACTTCAAACTAAAAAAAAAAGATTATAGAAAAAAACTATATGATTATTATATATTTATTTTAGAAACTTGATTAAGATCAATAATTAGCTATAGAAAATTTAGTTTAATAAAAAATAAAATAAAATATAAGTAAAAAATTAATAATACGAATTACTAATATTTTTAATAATTCCATCAGTTTTAACTTCAGAGAGTGACTGGCTAATTTTATATTTTCTCTCCGTTTCAAGTCATACTAAATCGTTTGATACTAAATTTAAAAAAAGTATAGGTGCATGTGTATATCATCCGATTTTTTTACTTTTCGTCAACTTTTTTTAGAAAATGACTAAACCGATTTCAAAAATGTGAAATCCATTTAATACAAATCGATAAGTACTTACAAAGATTAGTTGTGAATTGCGTGATGCTCAGTTTAGACGTTTTTTTATATTAAGCAAAAAAGTGATAAATTATTCGTCCATGTTTTAATCAAAAATCCTGAACAGTTTTTTGAAAATGTAAAAACCGTTCGAAATATATTACAAATTACTCCCTAGTTAACCACAAAGCGTAATGAAACGTTAATATAACATAACATATGTTTTTTATAACGGCCTAGGCTGTTACATTAGAGCCGTTACATTACAGGCTGTTACATTACAGCCGTTTACAGCTGTTACATTGCGAGATAAGGTAACGGTTTTCGTTTTTGTTACGTTTCGATAGATATATAGTTGAGAATCGTGCTGATAGTTTTTGGCAAAGATCAGCCTGACTGTCATTTTGTAATTGGATGTTAATAATTTTTGTTTTGCATTTTCAATTAAATTTAGCATTAAAATATTATATAGTCCTACAAAAAATGAATGTTTTATAAGTCTAAAGGAGTTAGAATTATTAGTATATTAGTATAAAAACAGTACATTAATCACGTGATCAAATTTTAAGAATTTTGGAACTCCTCCCACCTACTTTGTAATACATGGCAGTATTTAAAATTACAGTTGAATTTTTTTTTTATATAGCCAAACCTCAATTTTTATTGACTAAATCGATTATTTACACGTATCTGGAAGTCCATGCAACTGGTCTGAAAGCAAACTGCCACTTACACCTAGATACCTATAATTGGCCTGTGTTCTATGGAAAGAGAAAGGACGAATGGGACTTCGCCCCATTTAAAAGATGAGTATAAAATCAAGTCAAGAATTATAACATTCTAGATCCTTCCCCCACGAAGTAATGCCTAACGGCGGTTTCCGTGGGGACCAGCGGCAAGGGCAAGGGTATTAAGTCCGAAATACCCAGACAAAAGACCAGTCTGGGATGCATAGAGGCATTTCCTTCGCTATACAAAAAAAAACCTAGATACCTATAATTTTTGTAAGTAAAAGCCCGGGCACACGACGCCAGTATTTCTTGTAACATGTTTTTTGTTAAGTTTTACCGAAAGGTGAGCGTGTACAAAGAAACTATTTTAATTTTACGTTTTATACGCTCACCTTGCGAGAAAAGCTTGACAGAAAATATGTTACAAGATATACTGACATTGTGTGCATCAGACTACTAATTCTTCATAAATATTCTACTAATTTATGCAGATAGGTCAATTAAATGAATTGATCAAGAATAATTAAAATTCATAAGAACACAAAATTTATTTTTAACGATCTAAACGCTTTTCAATAGATAGAAGAAACAAGTCTATTACATTTCTCTATCTTTAATCTCGTTTCAATT